GTGTGTGTGTGTGTGTGTGTGTGTGTGTGTGTGTGTGTGTGTGTGTGTGTGTACACCACATCTTCGTTATCCATTCATCTGTCGATGGACATCTGGGCTCTTTCCACAGTTTGGCTATTGTGGACATTGCTGCTATAAACATCGGGGTGCACGTACCCCTTCGGATCCCTACATTTGTATCTTTGGGGTAAATACCCAGTAGTGCAATTGCTGGGTCATAGGGTAACTCTATTTTCAACTTTTGAGGAACCTCCATACTGTTTTCCAGAGTGGTTGCACCAGCTCGCATTCCCACCAGCAGTGTAGGGAGGGTTCCCCTTTCTCCGCATCCTCGCCAACACCTGTTGTCTCTTGTGTTTTTGATTTTAGCCATTCTGACTGGTGTGCGGTGATATCTCATTGTGGTTTTGATGAGTACTGTTTTGTCAGGATGACTCTCTTTCTAAATTCAAACTGCATTACTTTCCAGGTCATTTTTGAAGCCATTCGGGGACCGTCTGTGAGAAGTGATATTGCCATTGATGATGTTAAATTCCAAGCAGGACCCTGCACAGGTAACAATGTTTTTCCCAATTATATCAGCTTGATTGAAAGGGGATTTTGCCTCAGCCTCAAATCATAAGAAGGCAAATTATTTTTCTACAATAAAAATAGAGAAAATTACTATTGTCTCTTTTTTATTTGTCTTTCCTGACAGAAATGGAAGATTTAACTCAGCAATCATCAGGATATTCTGAGGATTTAAACGAAATTGAGTTTTAAGAAATGATCTGAATTGGATCAACTAAACAAGAGCCATACCTCTCTTCCATCGAAATGAAAGCAGAACGAATGAATACTGGACAGTCTTAACCATTTCATAAGTTATAAAATGACTTCACAGCACAGCACTCTTTTTCCCATTTACTTTTGCAAAAAATACTGACTCAGGGCTTTTTGTTTTGTTTTGTTTTGTTTTGTTTCCTTTCTGCGTATGACAACTGTTATGAAAGTACAGGATGTTGATTTTGCAAAGATCACTCATCTTAATTTTGGTTCCAGTTAAAAATGCAAATGTACTGTATTGCAGTCATTTTAAAGTATGCAAATGAAGGGCACAAGCAAAATGAGATGTGCTCATTTAACTCTGCATTCAGTGAATGTATTGGGAGGAGACTAAGTCTTGCAGGTTTCTTTTTGAATTTCAAGCATCATTAATTATTTTTAAAGTAATAATATGAGGTGTCAGTAGTATCTGCAGAATGAATGCAGTTTTTTTCATGGTAACAAGTCAGTCTAAGAAAATAAAATCTTATTGCCTATGTTTTATTCATAGAAAGGGAGTATTAATTTTTTTGGAGTATTAATTTTTAAATATTTTTACCATATGTGATAACAAAGGATCTTTTCATGAATGTCCCAGGGTAAGTCAGTATTAATTAATGCTGTATTACAAGGCAATGCTACCTTCTTTTTTCCCCCTTTGAACTCCTTTGAAAGTCACTCTGAACACATGGATTAGAAATTGCACTCTTTTTTTGTAAAGCAAGCTTGAAAATGTTTATGGACATACACCCAAAATTTTTTAGGCTATGTTAAGCAATTTTACTGGGTTTTTTTATTAAATGGTTTGGTAAGGTTTTGAGTAATATGAATTCAAGCAGATATACTAAACTACTGCTTTTTATTTACATGTTTAGAAAATTGTATATACATATTTGTATACCCAAACAGCTCTTACAAGATTACCTAATAAAAGGTAATTTGAAAATCTTTTCACTAGCAATTAAGTCATTTCTACATTATTTTTCTTGTTCAGAAGATCTCCAGGGGCGCCTGAGTGGCTCAGTCGTTAAGCGTCTGCCTTTGGTTCAGGTCATGATCCCAGGGTCCTGGGATCGAGCCCCGCATCGGGCTCCCTGCTCGGCGGGAAGCCTGCTTCTCCCTCTCCCACTCCCCCTGCTTGTGTTCCCTCTCTCACTGTGTCTCTCTCTGTCAAATAAATAAATAAAATCTTTAAAAAAAAAAAAAAAAGAAAGAAGAAGATCTCCAGTACACAACTGCAGATTCTAATTTGAATTGCTACTCTGCCACAGTTAAGCTCTTCTTAGGCTTCTATTAGTGATATAAACACTGCATACATTGATACAATAATTGGTTTTTAAAGTGTTTTATTTCGTATAAGCCAACTTAATTTTTCACCAACTTTTATCTTATTAGAATATAAACACTATGAGGATAGGGATTCTTGCATGTTTTGTTTACTTGTGTAGTCTCAGTACCCAGAACAATGTCTGGTATGTTGTAGGTGTTCCACATATAAATACTTGTTGAATGAATGAATGAATGAAGAATGAATGAATTTAACCCTCCCTACATCCTCCAAATTGGAGATATTATTATCTCTTTTTACAGAGAAAGAAACTGAGGCTCAAAAGAGTGAACAAATTATTTAAGATTCCATAACTGCTCACTGGAGGAACTTGGAGTCAGGTCTCTCTGACCCCAAGGTCCATACCTCTTCCTGCTTTGTATGGCCAAAAACCCATGGTTCTCACAGAGTTGGGTGGTATTCCCGCTCAAGAATGTCAAAACTCTCTGGGTGGGTGCCTGGCTGGCTCAGTTGTTAGGGCATGTGACTCTTGATCTCTGGGTTGTGAGTTTGAGCCCCACATTGGGCATAGAGATTACTTAAAAAAAAAAAAAGTCAAAACTCTTAAATTAATCTGTAAAGAGTAGTATACTTCCCTGAAGACCACATTACTTGGAAAACAAAAAACAAGACTCAACTATTCAAAATAAACATCCCAAGGTTTACGGAGACAATAAAATAAACTTCTATAGTAAAGCAAAATTTTGCAAATCAAATCCCTAAATAGAGTTGAATTGAGGAAGTTTTCAAGATACGTGAACCGACTCAACAGTATGGTAGACATTATAATTTCCTCACCCTGTTATTCCTGTCCAGAGCTTAGTTGTATTTGCTGAATAAAGAAATGAAAATTGTGTCTCCAGGACCTAACATAGTATCTCGTGCATAGCAAGGGGTTTATAATATGTAGTGACTAAATTGAGTCATTCAACTAGCCTCCTTGCTTAGGGATTACATAAATCCACCATAAAAATCAGAGCTAACATTTATTGAATACTTACTATCTTCAGACATTGTTCAAAGAGTTTTATATGAATCCATTCATTTAATCCTGATAACAACCCATGAAGTAGATCTAGTGATAGTTCCATTTTATAAATAGAGAAACTGAATTTGTCCAGGTTCAGCAGCTGGTATAAAGGCTTAGGTTTGAACCTGGTGTGTTTCCCTGGGAAACCTGTGTACATCTTCTGCTTTTCTCTTTCCAGAGGCTTCCCCTTCCTCATCACTGCCTCTTGAACCCGCCCGCTCTCCTGCCAACTCCACCCCCAATACCAAATTAATCCGTAGGCAGAGGTTCCAAGTTTCTCCCACTCCAGAGGATTTATTGGCTACCAAAATTGCTCGAAAGGTTGCCAAACCAGAAATAGTACTGGTGCAGCTACTCTGGAAAACAGTAGGGAGGCTCCTCAAAAAGTTAAAAATAGAACTACCCTACGACATAGCAAGTGCACTACTAGGTGTTTAGCCAAGGGATACACAGTGATCCGAAGGGGCACGTGCACCCCAAAGTTTATAGCAGCAATGTCCACAATAGCCAAACTATGGAAAGAGCCCAAATGTCTATCGACAGATGAATGGATAAAGAAGACGTGGTAGATATATGCAGTGGAATATTACTCAGGCACCAAAAAGAATGAAATCTTGCCATTTGCAATGAGGTGGATGGAACTAGAGGGTATTATGCTAAACAAAATAAGTCAGAGAAAAACAAATACTATAGGATTTCACTTATATTTGGAATTAAAGAAACAAAACAGATGAACATAGGAGAAGGAGGGAAAAAAGAGAGAGGGAAGTAAACCATAAGAGACTCAACAATAGAGAACAGATGGGGTTGGTGGAGGGAGGTGGATGGGGGGGATGGGCTAAATGGGTGATGGGCATTAAGGAGGACACTTGTGATGAGTGCTGGGTGTTGAATGTAAGTGATAAATCTAAATTCTACTCCGAAAGCCAATTTTACCATATGTGTTAACTAGAATTTAAATAAAAACTTGAAATTAAAAATAAATAAATACTATTTGGGACACCAGCTTTGGGAATTTGGGGGGGGGAATGTGAGGGTTGGCAATTAGTTATTAAGTTAGGGCAGAAAGGAAAGAGGTAATTGTTACCAGTTGTTAAGAAACAACATGTAGTTCATACACGAGGAGCGAGGAGGTGGAAGGTAAGGGGATTAATTTATGCCTCCTCGCTTAACGTCCCTTTGGCAGGATTCACTCTCTGGATGCTTCTCTTCCTTTCCAGGTTGCTCTTGCCATTCATTTTAACTATATCTCGCCTGGATGAAAATATGAAAGGCTAGTTAGCACGATATAGTTTCCTCGGGTTTAGAAATGCCCTCACAGAAGGCATGCTAGCTAATCGGTACCGCTTGACAATTTAAGCACAGTATTTGCATTTACTTTAACTCTTACCTAAACACACAAGTGCTTCAAAGACCAACTACTTTTTCCATACAGGTAGACTTCTCTCTTAAAATTTGCTATCTGGGTTGGAGATGATGTGTAGAAGGAAGCGCAGGAGAAGATAGGGCCTCTGATGCAAGGTCTGGTTTAATGTGGAAGAAAAAAAGGTTCAGCCAAGATTTGGTGACGGGGGCGCCTGGGCGGCTCAGTCGGTTGCTTGAGTGCCCTACTCTTGGTTTCAGCTCAGGTCATGGTCTCAGGGTGTCCCAGAGAAAATCCTGGCCTTGCCACTTACCAGCTTCGGGACTGGGGGCAAGTCACTTACACCCTCGCTGATTCCTACTACTAGTCTGCAAAATGAGGCAGACTACTCCTTGTCTCTACATCTTCGGGTGTCTGTAAAGATGAAAGGAAAGGGACACCTAAAAGCACTTAGTGTCTGAAACACAAAAGCCATCCTAGTTTATATTAGAAGGTTTGAGTGAATTTTTTTTTAATAAATCGCAGTTATTTTTAATGTATTCTTTCTTTACAAAGGAATTGTGAGTTTATAGTGCCATCTTAAGGAGAAAGTAACCATAGAATCTTGTCATGTTATCACGTTCTCGTTTTGTACTAACAATGCTAGGCTCATTTTAACCAGCAGCTGGGCAGTGCCTTTCCCTTTGCTCTTCCTACTCCAACTGCTGTTAGTGGTTCTTCTGGGCTGCTCATCCTGTGTGTGTGTATATATATATATACACCCTAGCAAAATGTATCATGCTAAACCTAAATTCTTGTTTTTATGGCCATCTTCTCAAAAATGGTCGCTTTTCCAATTTTGTGCCCCCAACTGCCTGCCATACTCAACAAATATTTCTGGAGTAAAGAAACAAATCCTCAATTAAAAACATTTAGTTTAATACAAATATGTGTGTGGATTTCAAGAATCACAAGGGATATAAAGATTTTCGTTCATCCATCAACATTTCATGGTCTGGAAATCCACACTCTAAAAATTTAACGTGAATATGTGTCCCTGGCCGGTGAGGATCCTTGGGGCAACTGGTAAAAACAACTTTAAACCTTCTTTAGAAGGCCATGACTCTCAACCCAGGCTACACATATTTCCCCATATATAAAACTACACAGAAAAACGACTCCCAATCCAAAATTACAACACATTTGGTCAGCTGTCAACAGCAGAATTAGATACCCAAGACTTCACATGATGAATTTTTTGATAGACACTTTAAAATAACGATTTTAAAAATAGACACCAAAAAAAATAAGCATTGAACACATAAAAGGCAATACGCTATGAAAAAATGAGCAGGCAGAATGATCTTAAAGGGAACCAAATAGAACTTCTGCACATGAAAAATGTAGTCATTAAAATAAAAAATTCAATAGAAGAGGCAAATATCTAATTAGACGTACCTAACAGGAGAGAACTGGTGGACTAGAATATAAGATAAGAAACGTGAATACAATACAGAGAGAGAAATGAAAAATACGAGGGAGGCAGAGAATGAGAGCATCCAGGGTATTACAGTAAGAGTTCCCGAAAGAGAGAATGGGGGGAGGGAAGAGTCAAAGGTAGAACATTTGAGACAGTTTCAGAATTGGTTATGGATAAAAATGTTTAAAATCAGTAAGTCTAACAAACTCTGAGCAATGCAAGTGAAAATAAATCCACACCTAGATCCATCATTATGAAATATCAAAGGCAGAGAGATTTCAAATGCAACCAGAAGACAGATGAATTACAGAGGAATAAAAATGAAACGAAATCAAACTTCTCAATGAGGAAGGTGTGAAGATAATGGAATAATACCTTTAACACGTTGAGAGAAAATCACGTCACCTGGGAATTTTATCATTCGGAAGAACAAAATCACGACATTTTCAGATAAACGAGAAAGAAATCATGTATTTTTCATATGTATGTGTGTATAGATATGCATGAATATATTCATATACAGATATTCCTTAACTTACGATGGGGCTATGTCCCAACAAACCCATTGTAAGTTGAAAATATCATAATTCGAAAATGCATTTAATACACCTAACCGACTGATCATCATGGCTTAGCCTAACCACCTCAACCATGCTCAGAAAACTCTCATTAGCCTACAGTTGGACAAAATCATCTGAAATCAATCTCCCAGGCTACAGAGCAGGATGAAGAGGGGAGGACGTCGGACATAGTGGGGCAAGCAGAAAAAATACAGCACAGAATCTTTAAATCCCTTAGTGCATTTTCTCTCTCTTTTTCTTAAAAATTTTATTTATTTATTTGAGAGAGAGAGTGAGATCACAAGCAGGGGGGAAGGGTAGAGGGAGAAGCAGGCTCCCTGCCCAGCAAGGAGCCCAACGTGAGACTCAATCCCAGGACCCTGAGATCACAACCTGAGCCGAATCTGTAATTTGTCTTTTTTGCTCAAAAGGCTTAAGGGACTGAGCCACCCAGGTGCCCCGCCACCCCCACCCCCCTGCATCTGTCTTTTGATCTTAATGAGAAGGAATAGGAAGTTTCTCCATTAGTTAGCATGTGTGCTCCAGGTTTCTGATAAGTAGCATCTATCAAGTTCAAAAACTTCAGTGCCATTCATAGTTTTCTAAGAACTTATTACACATAGACATTGAACTTCATCAGACGTTTCTTTGCATATGTTGAGATAATATGATTTTTCCCCTTTAATCTTTTAACATAGCGAATTACATGGACACATTGTAAATTTTTTTTTTCTAATTTAGCAATGTCTAACTTTCTATGTCTGACTCTTGATTTTGGCTGAGGTTTTGATCTCAGGGTTGTGAGACTGAGCACCACATCAGGCTCTGCATTGGGCGTAGAGCCTGCTTGAGACACACTCTCTCTCTCCCTTTCTCTCTCTCTCTCTCTCTCTCTCGCCCCCTCTCCCCCTCCCCCCCACACTCATGCACATGGGGTTGCATGTGCACACTCTCTCTCTCTCAAAAAAAAAAAGTCATACAGAGGAAATCATTGTGTATATATCCATCTGTGATTTGTCTTTTTAGCTCAAAATGATGTTTTTGAGATTCAGCAATGTTGAATTTCTAGCTGTAGTTAATTCATTTTCCCCGTGGTATGATATTCCATGAAATGATTATACTGCGATTTATTAATTCATTCTACCATTGATGAATACTGGAGTTGGTTCTAGATTTTTGCTATTGTGACAATGCTGCTAAAATATTTCTCATACAAGTACCCAGGTACCCATGTAAAAGAATATCTTTGGGTTGCCTCTCTGACATGTGAATTGCTGGTTTGTATGATAGGTACACTATGCTAAATGAGGGAAAACTGCTTCCCAACTGGCAGTTCTAATCTACACAACTCTTACCAGTATAGATGAGTGCCAAAAACATGCAAATGTCAGATTTTAATTTTTGCCCATCTGGTAATTAGGAAATTACATTTCATTGAAGTTTTAATTTACATTTCTCTAATTACGAATTAAATTGAGCATCTTATCATATGTTCTATGACCATTCATGTTTCACCTTGTGCAAAATGCCTATTTATTTTGCCCATTTTTCTAGTGAGCTGTGTATCTTCTTCTTACAGATTTATAGGAATTCTCTTAATATTCCAGATACTAAGCTTCTGTTTATTTTAAATGTTGTAAATATCTCTTTTTCTTCTACTATGTGGCTTCTCCCCTCCCTGCTCATATTGTGAATTTGATTTATGAAAGGCCTTAGTTTTTAATATGTATGAATTAATCATCTTTTTATTTTCTTTATGATTTATACATTTTTTTTTTGTCTTAAGAAACTCTTTCCTACCCTGTGTTTTTAAAGATATTCCCATATGGTTTCTTCTGAAAAAAAAGTAAACTTTTGTCTATTCCCTTTAAGCGTTTGATTTCTCTGGAACTATATCCAGCCAACTTGCTAGGCTCTCTATTATTTCTCAGAACAGACTCTATATTTACATTCACTTCCTACCACTGCTGCAACAAATTACCGTGCTTTCTGTGGCACAAAACAACACATTCATTATCTCATAATTCTGGAAGTCAGAGTCCTGAAAATGAGTCTCATGGAGCTAAAATTAAGGTTTCGGCAGGGCTGTGTTCCTTCTGGAGACTCTAGCAGAAAATCCGTTTCTTGCCTTTTCCAGCTTTTAGAGGCTTCGGCTTCCAGCCCTGTTCTCCCTCTAACATCTGCTTTCATTTTCACGTCCCCTCTGGTCCTGACTGTCCTGCCTCTCTCTTTTAAGGACCCTCATGATTATATGGGTCCACCTGGATGATCCAGGATAATCACCCCATCTCAAGATCCTTACCTTAATCACGGCTATAAATTCCCTCTTGCCATGTGGGGTAACCTATTCACAAGTCCCAGGGAATATAACGTGGGCATCTTTGGGGAGCCATTATGCTGCCTACAGCATTCTCTTTTGCTGTTAGGTCAGATTTCTTAATAAGGCCAGTTTTGGTTTTCCTTTTTTAACTCCTCTATCTGTTCAATTTTCCTAACTGATTTAGGAGATTAAGATCTCCAACATAGTGCCTCAATAGAAGGAGTAATAGAATCGTCCTTGACTTGTTCCAGAATTTAAAAGAATATTTTTAAACATCCCATCATTGGACATGAGTTTCCTAAAGGGTTCTGGAGTCACCCTTTCCTGGTTAAAGGGAGTTTTCTTCCACTCGTATTTTCCTAGAAATTTCGACCATGAATGCGTGTTGAAAACAATTGAATGCTTCTTTTTCTGCTTGGATCTTTGTCCCATAATCTTTTAACATGAAGCATCATAGTAATTTATTTGATTTGCTTGTATTTAATCAACCTTGAATTCCTATGACAAACCCAATTAGGTCATGATATATTTTTTATTAACATGGCTATGTATTTGTGCATATGTCCATGAGTAAGATAGATAGGACATTTTCATTGCCATTAATTTTCCAAGAAGTTTGGGGATTTAGACATGGTTAGACTCGTAAGAGGAGCTGGAAAGTCTCCCTTCTTTTTCTATACTCACAAAGTGTGGGTGGGATTTGAGCGGAGCTTCTTAACCGGGGGCGGGCGGAGGAGAGGGGGCAATTTTACCCCTTAGGGGACATTTACCAATGTCTGGAGACATTTTTTGCTGTCGAATCTGGAGAGGTGCCACTGACTCTTGGTGGGTGGAGGCCAAGGATGCCGTTGACTATCCTACGATGCACAGGACCAGAGTGTCCTCTTTCCTCAAAAAGAATTTTATCCTACCCAAAATGTCACTAGTGCTGAAGTTGGGGTTTCTTCTCATTCTGGAATAAATGATCACTATCCTAATTTGTAATTTTTTGTTTTTTTCAGAGGGGCTCCAAAACTTAGGTAAACTTCAGGGCGCCCACGGAACCTGGATCCTGTGGGAAAAGAGAGACCACTGTGTAGAGGACAGGGGGGTGTGTGTGTAAGAGAGAGTGACAGACAGCGAATGGCTTTGGAGCCAAAGTCAATACTGGAGAGAGATGGACAAAAGAGAGAAATTTTGTTTTCACATAAGTCTCAAACAATCAGTTACTAGAAATTGGCCACATGTAATAATGTCAAGAAACTGAAGGAAAGTAATTAGTGCGGTATATAGTCTAGCAATTTTAATTCTTGGTATCTATCCTAGAGAAATGCTATTGCCTATACATAAAGACATGTTTGAGGATGTTCCCTGAAGCAATGTTTGTAAAAATGAAAAACTGGAAGAAATCTATACGTCAAATCTGTAGAGTAATGGATAAAGTGAAATATAGTCATACAAAACCCTACAGCAGTTAAAAAGGAACAGGTTTTATATATGTGTCACCATGGATATATCTCAAAAATACATTTTTGCATGAAAAACAAAATTGCATAACTATTCTTACCTTATTTTATTTATTCTTATTATGCTCAGTTAGCCACTGTATAGTAATGTTAATACATTTATATGCATGCATGTAATATATTACGCCTTTACATAACACATTTATGTAATGTAGATAAAATGCATGTAAATATAAAAATGGCCTTAAAGGACATTACATTACACACTGAACATGTGTATAGAGTAGTTAGCTCTGGTGAATAAGAGACACAGCAGCAAGATTGAGGAAAAGATGTCAAATGCGCACTAATTTGATCTGTGTTGTTCTAATTTTTAAGAGGAGAATGTATGCACGTGTTTCATGTGCAATTGTTTAAGAAGTAGGTAATAGAAAAAAAGACAATAAAACCATGCCTAATTGTTAACAGTGTTAATTCCTTTTTTTTTTAATGTTTTGAAAACACCTTTAATCAATCCCTTTTGGATATTTAAGTTAATTCTAGTATTTTGTTGAAGTAAAACATGCTCTGATGAACATCTCATCTTCACATCTCTGAATATTTACTTAGGGTAAATTCATAAAAGGAAAATACTGACTCAAGAGGCATGAACAATTTTGGTACTTTCATCTAGATTATACTGAAAAAACTTGCTGAACTGATTTCCTCTAACATCAGCAATTTTCTTTTTGGTGCCAGAATGACAATTTTGTTAATCTTTCACCAACATTGGATGAAAGATTATCATTTTCAATTTTTGACTAATTTGAAAGGCTAATTTTATATTTGCTTTGTAATAATTGGCACTTTTTTATACTTTGTGTGAATATTTTCAAATATTTGTGGCCATTTTAGCTCTTGTTTTGTGATACTGCTTGTTCTGTTTTTCTTTTCAAATTTTTATTTAAATTCTAGTTAGTTAACATACAGTGCAATATTGGTTTCAGGAGTAGAATTCAATGATTCATCACTTACATACAACACCCAGTGTTCCTCATAACAAATGCCCTCCTTAATGCCCATCACCATTTAGCTCATCCACCAACCACCTCCTTTCATTAACCCTCAGTTTGTTCTCTATCTTTGAGAGTCTCTTATGGTTTGTTTCCCTTTTATCTCCCCCCCCATATGTGCAATTGTTTTGTTTCCTCAATTCCACATATGAGTAAAAGCATATGGTACTTGCCTTCCTCTGACTGACTTATTTTGCTTAGCATAATACCCTTTAGCTCTATCCATGTCGTTGCAAATGGCAAGATTTCATTCTTTTTGATGGCTGGGTAATATTCCTGTGTGTGTGTGTGTGTGTGTGTGTGTGTGTGTGTGTGTGTGTGTGTGTACCAAATCTTCTTTATCCATTCATCAGTCAAAGGACATTTTGGGCTCTTTCCATAGTTTGGCTATTGTTGATAATGCTGCTATAAACATCAGGGTGCATATACCCCACTGACTCAGTATTTTTGTATCCTTTAGATAAATACTTAGTGTGCAATTGGTGGATCATAGGGTAGTTCTTTTTTTAACTTTTGAGGACCCTCCACAACAGTGTTAATTCTTTTTTAAAGATGTATTCATTTATTTAGAGAGCAAGAGAGCAAGTGTGAGTGGGTTTGGGGCAGAGGGAGACAATCTCAAGCAGACTCCCCAACAAGCATGGAGCCGGACTCAGTGCTCAATCCCATGACCCATGAGATCATGACCTGGAGCTGAATCCATGAGTCCAAAGCCTAACTGACTGAGCCACCCAGGTGCTCCTGTTAATTCTTGATTGTAGGAATATGCATACATGGTTGTTGGTTTGTTTGGTGTTTTTAGAGTTTTCAAAATTCATAAAATAATAACAAAAACACAAATGCAATTTCAATTATAAAAAGAATGTTATGGCTACCAATCAAAAGTGGAAGTGAGAACTTAAAAGCAATGAGTTCATGGAAGAGTTTACTTTATACTTTATGGAGCTGATTTCAAAAGATTTAGCATGGTTCTGACAGTTACCAACTTTCTTTCTTTGGGGAAGCATCACAGTGTGAGAAAAAACACTCACTCTCCCCTGAGATACCTCTGACCTAGCCTGGGCAAGGAGGACTATCAGTTCATTTTGCAAGGACTGGCAGAGAGGATTGCTCATAGTGCTTTAGCACCTTGTTCCTGATCTTTCTGAAATTGAAGGTAAATTCCTTCTGGAGCAATTTAATAACTGTTTCCCCATTTCATATCCTCAAAAGAAATGAAGGCACATTTAGCTATAGACATTCTATTGTGACACTTTACAAAGAACATTTGAAACCTCATATTAATTCCTAATAATTTTTTCAATCTTTCAGTTGGTTTTTATGTCTGAGAGATGGAAATTTGAGAAAGATACAAATCTGTTGAGATATTGATCCAGAATATAAAAATGAATTATGAAAAAGTCCTTAGAACAGTATCTGGTATATGGTACATGCTGTTGGTATCAGCTATTACTAATACTATAGCTATTACTCTAACCAATTCCAAGACTACTGCCACCGTGGTAAGAAGCAGCAGATATTTTGGTTATTTGAAGCTTTTTTGGGAGGCGCCTGGGTGGCTCAGTCATTAAGCGTCTGCCTTCGGCTCAGGTCATGATCTCAGGGTCCTGGGATCAAGCCCTGCATCGGGCTCCCTGCTCAGCGAGGAGTCTGCTTCTCCCTCTCCCTCTGCTCCTCCCCCCTGCTCGTGCTCTCTCTCTCTCTCTCTCTCTCAAATCAATAAACAAAATCTTTTTAAGAAAACTTTTCTATGATGTTAGAAACACATTTTTTTAAAGTAAAAACCTTATTTCTAGCAGAAGCTCGCTGTATGAGGTGTTAGTTCCCCTGTGGGAAGAGGGTTCATTCTCCTTGGAACCCCTCATCCCTCCTTACATCTTCCCTGACTGTTCTTTTTTTTTTTTAGAGAAAGAGTGCGACAGGTGCGGGTGGGGAGCGGGGCAGAGGGGGAGGGAATGGGAGAGAAACTCAAGCAGACTCCTGCTGAGTGCAGAGCCAGACCCAGCGCTTGATCTCACCACCCTGAGATCAATACCTGAGCTGAAGAGTCGGCTGCTTAACTGAATGAGCCCCCCAGGTGCCCCTCCCCAACTGTTCTTTAACAAGGTTAATTAGGAAGTGTCGTGAGAGGCATTGGGGAAAAGGGGTTGTTTCTGGGTGCCAAGGACATCAGTTTCAGCCTCTTTTTCCCTCCTTTCCGAACCATGAGGGCTCACTTTTCCACTTTATGAATTTGTCAAAAGCATAAGTAGTACTTCCTCTCACTTGGTATATAAACGAGAGGAGATCATCCCTGTTATCCTGCGAGGGTTCTTATCAGAACCGGAGGAGTAAACCATCGTAGTCCTTGGCGGCCTCGCCAGGGTCCTAGTCGGTGTATCTCGCACCACCTTCTTGCTCCATTATCAAGGGCTTGCGGAATAAAGCCAAGAACAACAACACAGAAGATAGCACTCCAAGGGTGAAGTGAAACATATTTACAATCCTTGACCCTGCCCCTTTCTGCGGGTTTTTTGTTTGTAGCAGTTTTAAAGTTTCTTAATCTCAGGAAACACACTGAGGGTTGCTGGAGTTGGGGGGGGCGTGTAGGAGGGATGGGGGGCTGGGTGACAGACATGGGGGAGGGGATGTGCTGTGGTGAGCGCTGTGAATTGTGCAAGACTGCTGAATCACAGATCTGTACCTCTGAAACAAATGATGCAATATATGTTAAGAAAAAAAAAAAGAAGATAGCAGAAGGGGAAGAACGAAGGGGAGTAAATCGGAGGGGGAGAGGAACCATGAGACGATGGACTCTGAGAAACAAACTGAGGGTTCTAGAGGGGAGGGGCGTGGGGGGGGTGGGTTAGCCTGGTGATGGGTATTAAAGAGGGCACGTTCTGCGTGGAGCACTGGGTGTTATGCACAAACAATGAATCATGGAACACTACATCAAGAACTAATGGTGTAATGTATGGTGGTTAACATAACAAAAAATTTTAAAGATTAAAAAAAATAAAGTTTCTGGAGCATTGTAAAGCCATCACTCAAAATAGCCCCTGGTGACTTACTCCTTGGTGAGTAGAAGGTTAAATACAATTGCTCGGCTACATCTCTAAGCTAGCAAAAATGGCGTGATGAACTCAGCTGATGAGTGGACTTCAAATCCTGGAAGTGTAGATTTAGCTGTTGTGGCTCACTCACTCATTTACGAGCATCAAGTGCCCGTTAATTGATATTCTATTTCCAGAGACCATCTCCCTCTGCCTCTCTACCCCTCACCCGTTTCGAGACAGTTTTCACCAGTGGAATTAAAGAAACCAGGTGTGGCAAGATATATGTGTATACTTTTATGGGTGCACGAAATTATTAAAGAATGAGAAGCACGGAGCTAGTATGGTCAGCCAGAACATCCCTGCTTCATGCTGACGTCCAGTCATAGAGTCCAGCAAAAAAGAAATATTTAAATCAATTATACTATATCTGCTTGATGGAATACTATATGGTTACTTAAAACTATGTCACGGCGAACCATGAGAGACAATGGACTCCAAGAAACAAACTGAGGGTTCTAGAGGGAAGGGGGGTGGGGGGATGGGTTAGCCTGGTGATGGGTATTGAGGAGGGCACGTTCTGCGTGGAGCACTGGGTATTATGCATAAATAATGAATCATGGAACACTACATCAAAAACTAAGATGTAATGTATGGTGATTAACATAACAAAAAAATTTAAAGAAAAAAACTATGTCACGGAAAAATATTTAATGGCATGGAAATACATTCATATTATTGAGAAAAAGAGGGTTATATATATATGTGTATATATATATACATACACACACAATAATATAATTTGTGCGGCATCATCCTGTTTTGTTTTGTTTTTGCAGGGGGGCCAAAAGGAGCATATCATACATACACAAGGAAAAAAGATAAAACATACACCCAAACCCTAACAGTGATTAGTCTGGGTAGAGGAATTAGGAGTAACTTTTCGCTTTGTGTATGTTTTTCTGCGTGCTCCCAAATTTTCTATACTTAACATGCATTGGTTTTGTAATTAGAAGCAAAAGCAACAGTATTTTCCTTTTTAAAAGGTGGTGGCACCAGCCAGAATGGCAAAAATTAACAAGACAGGAAACAACAAATGTTGGCGGGGATGTGGAGAAAGGGGAACCCTCCTACACTGTTGGTGGGAATGCAAGCTGGTGCAACCCCTCTGGAAAACAGTGTGGAGGTGCCTCAAAAAGTTAAAAATAGAGCTACCCTACCACCCAGCAATTGCACTACTAGGTATTTACCCCAAAGATACAGATGTAGTGAAAAGAAGGGGTACGTGCACCCCAATGTTCATAGCAGTAATATCCACAATAGCCAAACTCTGGAAGAAGCCGAGATACCCTTCAACAGAAGAATGGATAAAGAAGTTGTGGTTCATATACACAATGGAATACTACTCAGCCATCAGAAAGGATGAATACCCACCATTTGCATCGACATGGATCGAACTGGAAGGGATTATGCTAAGTGAAGTAAGTCAAGCAGAGAAAGACAATTATCATATGGTTTCACTCATATGTGGAACATAAGGAATAGTGCAGAGGACCAAAGGGAAAGGGGTGTGTGTGGGGGGGACTGAATGGGAGGAAATCAGAGACGGAGCAAACCATGAGAGACTCTGGACTCCAGGAAAAGAACTGCGGTTTACCAAAGGGAGGGGGTGGGGGGAAGGTGTACCAGGGTGATGGGTATTAAGGAGGGCACGTGTGGTGATGAGCATTGGGTGTTATACGCAACTAATGAATCATTGAACACTACATCAAAAACTAATGATGTATTATATGTTGCCTACTTGAAGATAATATAAAAAAACAAAATAAAATAAAATAAAAGGTGGTGGCAGAGTATGACTGGCTGGCTGTTTAGGAAAGAACTCTTAGCTTGTATGCATTTGTGGGGTCATCTCAAGTTCAGGGACTCATTTTCAACTTTCAAGTTTATAAGCACAATTTGATTAATTCACTAAAGAACTAATAATGGTACAGAAATGGGTTCCTGCCCTCAGCTACCATTACTCTGCCTGTTATTTTTCCATTAGGATAGATTCCCCCAAATGTAATCATTTCTTCAAAGACTTTGACTCTTCTAAGGTTCTTGAAGTACGGTAACAAATTACTTTTCAAAAAATTTGTCACAGTTAAATAAATAAAATCTTAAAAAAAAAGGGGGGGGGACGCCTGGGTGGCTCAGTTGGTTAAGCCTCTGCCTTGGGTTCAAGTCCTGATCCCGGGGGCCTAGGATCAAGTCCCGCATCAGGCTCCCTGCTCCGCGGGGAGCCTGCTTCTCCCTCTGCCTCTTTCTCTCTCTCTCTCTGTCTCTCATGAATAAATCAATAAAATCTTAAAAAAAAATTGTCACAGCATCGAATGACAGTATAGCACCCTCCTAAACACTGCCTATTTGAACAATTCTAAAATTATTCTTCTGTGATTTGTACTTATTATTTATTTCTAGTAACCATGGCGAGTTCATATGTTTTTTCTTGTCCTATTTTCTTTGATAATAACCTTTAGAGAGCACTGATTCCCCTTGTGCGAGAGGAAGGGGCGGGCACCTGGGAAAGGAGCATTGGTCCACGAGTCAGGAGTCAGGGTTCTACTGCACCCGTTTTCCAAATGGCCTCCCCACTTCCACGCCTGACCCCCTCCAAACAGCAACCAGAGTGATTACTTAAAAACTTTAATCAGATCATGTCTCTCTCCTTCTTAAAACCATCCAACGGCTTCCCAGCGCTTTAAAAAGGAACAGATCTGCCGTGATGGGCAAGGCTCTGCTATGCAACAGGGATTTCCACCCCCACCCCTGCCGGCAGCCAGACCGGCCTTCCCTTTGTTCCTCAGACGTCCCACCTGCTCCCACTCCAGAGCTTCTGTCCTTGCCTCGAACGCTCTTTTCTCATTGACGCACTTGGTTCCTTCTCACTGAGGGTTTAGCTCAAACATCACCTCTTGGGACGGCCCTTCCGTGCCTCCCCCATCACACTGGTTCTTGTTTATTTTTTTCCCAGAGCGCCTAGCACAGCTGGGAATTATCCCGATCCTTTGTTGCTCCACGGGTTCTTTTTCTGTCTCCCACACCAGAAAGTAAGGGCTCAGACACGCATCCTTGACCGGGGCCGTCTGTGCCGCAGCCCCAGCCTCCTGTATAGGTTAGGCAGTAATTATTAGCTGAGGGCATGAGGAGCTGCGTAAGCCTCGGTGCACCTCTTGTTCAGGGAGGTTAACCAGACGCATGTGAGCAGGTTTAAGTGGAGGCAGGCACTCACCGAAGCCGGCGCATGCTAGCTCGTGGATTTCTAGAAACCTCGGGGCAGGAAGCCTTATAAGGGAAGGAGGGAGCGGGGGGAGAGTCCCTGCTTGCAGAGTTTGTGTGGTGTCGTCTGTTCACAAGTGGGAGCGCAAATTAGACTCAGCAGGACGCTTAAGGGAGGCGCGGGCATAGGGCCATCCTAGAGTTTTCTTTTTTGGACACCGGGACGTGCTTGAAGGCAAATAGGGAGCAAACTGAGAAAGGAGCCGAAGACAGGCGAGTCCGGATCCGCTCGGGCGGTGTCCGGACAAGGCTGGTCCGACGTCGCGCGCCTGCGGCCCCAAGTGCCACCGCGAACGCCTCCCTCCGTCCTCTCGCGGGTCGGCTTCCTGAGAGCGCTGAAAGGGCTTCCAAAGTACTAGCTGCAGTGGACATCTTTTTCTGAGTTAACAAAAAAAAACCCAACTCCGGAAAAATGCACAAACGCTTAGAGAGGAAGGTCCGAGAGCCGTCTACCGGGGGGCCGTCGCCCTCGCCCGCGGGCGCTAGTGTCGCCTTCGGCCGCTCGGGCGCGGGGCTGCGGGGCGGGGCGGGGCGGCCCGCTGACGCCGCTGGGCCGGGACTGCGCAGGCGCGGGGCGGGTTCGCGAGCGGTGTCGCGCGCCGGGCAGTTCGCGCGGGAGCCGGGCGCAGAGGCGCGGAGGCTGCAGGTCGGTGGGAACGGAAGCGCCTGTAGGGCGGAGGGGAAGCCAGGATGGCGACTCCGAGTCGGAAGACGTCGACCTCAAGCTCCCTGGCCTCCAAGAGAGCTCTCCCGAGGGATCCTTCGTCGGAGGTCCCGAGCAAGAGAAAGAGCTCGGCCCCTCCGGCGCCGCCGCCGCCGCCACTGCCGCTGCAATCGTCCAGGCCTTTCGTGGAAGGCTCTATCGTCCGCATCGTGATGGAGAACTTCTTGTGAGTGACCGGAGGCCGCGCCGCGGCGGGGAGGCGGGCGGGGGGCGCCGGCTGCGCGGGTGGGTGAGGGAGGGGAGTGGATGTGCGCCTGGCTGCGGGGTCAGGCCGTGAATTCAAGCCGGGGGGTACGGTGAGGATTGACGTCTGTGTTGGGCTGGTTAGGTGTGCGACTGGTTGTGCTGCGGGCTTTTTATTCATTCAGCCAACGTTTTCTGAAGGCGTCATGCGGCGGGCAGGGGACGTGGTAGGGAATAGATTTCTGCGGGCTGCGAGTCACGGCCTACGGAGGGAGGACCTGATCTGTAATTCACAAAAGTGCGGGCGCTGCGAACTCAGAGGAAGCAACAGTTAAATCAAGAGTAGCCAGGATGCTGTGGTAGATTCGTCAAGAGTAAGCAGTTGCTAGGTGGACAAAGTGGTGAAGGTTGTCGCGGATGGAGGTGGAAATGTACAAGAAAATTAAGCCTTTCTCTCAATTGTTGGGCCTCCCAGCAGACCCTTGACCCCTCCAAATCCAGCTTTCCCCCCCCCGCTTCCATTTCTGTCTCTCCAGACCACTAATAATCCTAATAATCGTTTTTAGAATTTAGTAAATCTGTTTTAACACAAATACTGTGTATCTCTCTAGCACCTTACAGTTTTTTTGGTCAGGGTCTTTTTTTTTTTTTTTAAAGCTTACACATGGTGGCTTAGGATAACAGAATTGTGGTAACAATACCAATGTTTTTTTTTTTCCTCCCCAAGTATCTATCATGTGCCAGGTATAGAAGTAGATGCTTTATTTACACAATACTGTAATTCTTTCCTTATAACTCTTCATCTCTATTGATGAGATGAGCTCAGAAAGGTTAATTTACCTATGTTTATACTGCTAATAAGTAGCTGAACTGCTGTTTGAATCCAGATCAGTGACGAGAAATAAAATCAAGTGAGTTACCTGTCATAATAAAATACGTGTATATATATGTTTCAGGATGCCTTAGGGGCAAAAATGATGAAGTGTTTAATTTCATCCCTAACTATGAGAAAGGGCTTTGTACAGGAGGTTTACCAAAGTCTTAAGGGAAGAGTCCTGTAGATGAAGGAACCGCCTGAAACAGTTGTATTTAGGAAGTGTCTAGTGTTGGAGTATGGGTACAATGTAGGATGTGAGTGACTTAGAGGTGATACTGAAGAGGTAGGCATTTATTGAGGATCTGTGTTTTCTGTGCTGAGGAATTCCAACTTTATCCTGTCAGCAACCAGGATGCATTTTATTTTGTTAAAAGACTTTATTTGAGAGAGAGCATGAGAAGGGGGTGGATCAGAGGGAGAAGCCGACTCCCTGCTGAGCAGGGAGCTGATGCAGGACTGGATCCGGGGACTCCAGGATCATGACCTCAGCCGAAGGCAGTCGATTAACCAGCTGAGCCACCCAGGCGCCCACCAGGATGCATTTTAAGCAGGGAATGACATGTGATTTCCATTTCACACTGGAAGCAGTATGAAGGATGATTTAGAAAGGGTACAAGATTGGAGGCAAGAAGACTTTTACAACAATGAGAGATGATCGGAGATTGAACCTAGGAGTAGCAGTGGGAAGTAGTGGAAAGAAGATATGACAGGATCTGGCTACAGATTAGGAGGCCTGAGGGTAAGAGAGTTATGCAGTATTTACCTCAAGTTCTGTCTTGGCTCTTGGTCAGATGTGGTTCTTTTCAGAAGAGGGAGCAATTTGGGGAGAGTAATAATAAATGCTTTTTGTATCCTGCGATTTGAAGTTTCTTGTGGGGCATCTAAAAAAGATCTTCCATAAGCAATATTTTTAAGGGTCCGGAAAATGCAAACAGGTGAGAGATTTGGAAGTCATGCGTATAGGTGATTCTTGAAATTGCAGAAATGGTTGGGCTTGCCCAAAAGGAAATATAAATAGGGATAGAAGGCCATCTACGGAGTCCTGGAGGAATGCCAGCATGTCAGGGTGAGTAGAAGAGGAGCTGGGACAGAGAAGGAACTGTTCAGGGAGGTAAGAGGATAACCGTGGGAGACTATTCTCTAAGAAGCCTAGGGGGTAAAGTGTTTCAAAAATATTACCTGCTATATTGGAGTTGGATAACAGGACTGCTAAGAACCTATTGCATTCTGCAATTAGGAATTCTTTTACCCTTTGAAGCAGGGTAAGCACATTTTGCAAGTCCTAGAAGAATGAATGAGTGCAGCCACCCAAGCTTTATTTCCTCACAAAGTGCAGAGCTACCCTGTTTATTTTCATGATGAGAGGAGGTGGAGTTTTAAGAATGCGGGAGGAGGGGTGGGCTTAGAGAACCAAAGTAGCCTGAAAGAGAGTAGTTACTGGAAGAATTCCTAGGCGCGAACCAAGTCCCAAGTCCCGTGGGATTGGGAATGGAGGGAGAGGTTTCTAGGCTGAGAGAATAGCTTGCGCAAAGGCTTACAGAATAAATAACAAAGTTAGTCAAGACACTGAAAGAAGTTCATGATAGGTAGAATTTGGAGGTCTGATTAGAGAACAGGGGAAGGACGTAGAAAGTAGAAAAAGATGATCAAGAGCGAAATTCTGCATAGTCCTATTTTTTCTTATGGAGTGATCTCAGAATTGCATGCCTACCAACATGACTTGGTGACTGGATGATGGGGGCCAGAGGGGAAGGAGGTGATAGAATCAAAGATGATGCAAAACTGATGCCTAGGTTTCTGATTTAGGCAATGGGATGAATGATAATACTGTTCACTAAGAGACCGCAAGAATGGTTTGGGATTAGAAAGATAGCGGGTTTAGTTTTGAATGTGGGAAATTTGAGGTGACTGTTTGCAACATCCAGATAGTGTTCTGGAAGTGGTAATTGCATGTATAGGTCACTTGGGCTGACTCTCAGCACATAGATCCCACCAGAAGTCATGGAGAGTATATGAGATACCAGGCAAAGTACATAAATGGAGAAGAGGGTGGGCATATGACAACAGCACTTTTCAGGAGGAGCTCAGAGAAAAGGAAACCCACAAAAAGGGAATTCCCAATAAATATAGAGTCAGACCAACTAATTTTTTTTTTTTTAATGTGGAGGCTTTGTTTTGTTGTTTGCTTTGTTGGTGTGGGTTTATTTTTTGTTTTTGTTTTTTTGGCAACTCTGTTAATATCTATGTGTATGTTATAGGCCAGGAATAATTCTTCCTCTTTGGTTTTATTATCGTAAACATCACTTACATCACTGTTTTAGTAAAACAGTGGCACAGAGATTTTACAGCAGGAAATTCAAAACTTGAAAAGAATGGGGCTTCGTGTTTTGGAATTAAGTTCCAAGGCTGGTCATTTTCCAGATGCCTAAAGTTCCCAAACTAGTTTCATTTTAACCATTATATTAAGAGTTTCTTTATGATCCAGCTTTGAACAGAACAAAGCATTTGAAAAGATAAAGTAGGTAGATGCTGTGCTGAGATGTGGGGTTGGAAACCTGTCAGAAAATACTTGTTTACTCCCGGGCGCCTGGGTGGCTCAGTCGGTTGAGCGTCTGCCTTCAGCTCAGGTCATGATCCCAGGGTCCTGGGATCGAGTCCCACATCGGGTTCCCCGCTCAGCGGGGAGCCTGCTTCTCCCTCTGCTTGCTGCTCTGTGTCCAAAAAAAAAAAAAAAAGTTTGCTCCCTGTATTTACTTTTATTACTACATGGCATTTCAAAATAATTTTTGAGTACTGAAGTGGAAGTGTGCTTGGTTAAATTATTTACATACCTAGCAGATTAGTAGCAGGGTAACTTTTTATCGATATTATTTATGGGTTCTAATTCAGGGTATTCAGAGACTACTAGAGGATTATCTGAGTCCGTTTGTTTCACGTTTTGCCATAGTTGTCTGGGTGACTAATAAGGATGAGGTGCTACTGTTACAGTTAATTAAAACTGCTGGATAGCAGGCAGCTTTCTGGTTTGAGGGAATGTTATGAAAGTGCTTGGTGATGCGTTCTTGTTTCTTCCCATGGAATAACATTTTTTGAACATGGACTAACAATGGATCTCTTGGCGAATCTTTGGCAGCATATTAAAAGAAATGGATTTTTAAAAAATAAAATCATTGAGTTGATATCTTCAGTTTTTAATTAGAATAGAAATTTGGATTGTTTCAATTAGTAAAATGTGAGAAGTTGCTATTAAGCATTTTAATTCAAGAGAAATATAAATGTAAAATTCACAGATTTAGGATGAGCCATGGCATCTCTTACATAAAAAAAAATTGTAGAGTGGTTTTGATAAATTTTTTCATGTGTTCTAATTAGTAAAGAATAAAATCAAACTGCTTTATTCAGCAGACTTATATTTGAAAAGCGCCTATGAAATCTTATTTTCCCACTGATACTCTTATTTCAGATATGCATTATTTTCTCATTTCTTCCATTGATTTTTTTTTTCTCTAGTTTATTAACAGTGTATAAATACATTAAAATGTAAGGTCACCTGGCTTTGAAAGGATTCAACGAAGTTTGTAGATAACGTAAACAAGAATAAATATTTTTGTAAAGAAAATATTCTTATGTCTTAGTAATTTCACCTCTTTGTAATTCAGAACGTATGATATCTGTGAAGTATCTCCTGGACCCCATCTGAATATGATTATTGGAGCTAACGGCACAGGAAAGTCTAGCATCGTGTGTGCCATTTGTCTTGGATTAGCAGGCAAACCTGCTTTCATGGGACGGGCAGATAAGGTGAGTTAACGTAAGTACTTAAAAAAAAAAAAATTCAGAGTTGTGACTTGCTTTTAGTAACAGATCACTTTCTCTGTCTCATTTCCTTGGGTATAACAAAGATGTCAAGCTTGAATGTAAAGAATGAAGTTGGTAGGGAGAGCTGCTGGGAGGAGTTGCCATTTCTAGAAGTATTTTGGACTATATACCTTGAGAATTCTTCAAGTATGTAACACTTAAAATTCTTAGGAAAGGTGTAAAATGTCTTCTTAAATGTATTGCTGGGCTTGTGGAAAGGTGAGGTAAATTTACCAAGGGCGGAAGCAAAATTGTGTGGATCCAAAGACTTAAGCAAGCTCTGGAGTTGTTTCCGTAGGGGCGTTTGCTTACTTTGCACCCTGAAGGCATTTGGTTACTCTGAATTGGGGATCTTGAGGTAGGGGAAGGCTAGAAGATAAAACTAGAAGTCAAGCACTGTGTTTAGTAGGAAAAATAACACCGCAGAATGGGATATAGGGTTACTTACCTGATTGTTAGCTCTGAATATAGTGGAGAGAAAAAAAAATCTTCCAGAGAATTACTACTATTTTTATTGAAGAATAATTGACATATATTATTAGTTTCAGGTGTACAATAGTATTTGTATACATTATGAAATGGTCACCACAATAAGTCTAGTTGCTGTCTATCACCATACAAAATTGTTACAATATTGACTGTAGTCCCTAAGCTGTATATTACATGCCTGTGACTGACTTTATAACTGGAAGATTGTACCTCTTAATCTCCTTCATCTGTTTTGTCCACCCCCCCCTTCCCTCCCCTCTGCCAAAAATCAGTAATTTCTAGAGAATAAGGGTGTGGGGGGTAGATAAAGTAGAAAAAAGGAATGTAAAGAAGGTAATAAAGATATGTTAGATGGTGGTCGAAACAACCCTGACATTTAAGTGGTTTAAAAATATAGAAGATTAATTCTTCTTTTTGCTACTTATCCAGTATAGGCCGTTTGTAGTCACTTGGGTACCTAGGCTGATGGAGTCTTCATTTCAATACACAGTCCCGTGATTGCCGCCTCGGGAAGGGGAACTGGCTCTTACAATTTCTTCAAAAAGTCATAGATATTTGTTCGACTCACATTTTCAGTGGACAAAGCCAGTTAAAATTCCACACCTTCCATCAGAGGGAATGAGCAAATGCAGTCCTACTGTGGGCTTGCAGGAGAACTGGAGTTTTCATGAACTGCCGGGATGTGTGCCACCAGGGCATTACCAGAATGCAGCAGAGACTTAAATGATTATGAGAGAATATTATGGGGCCTGCCCCTGTCAGCTACTGCGTTGCTGCTGCTTTCATATGCCAAGTGCCTTGCATGCTGGGCTCCACGGCCACTCAGCCCCTGAGTGCTGCGCCCGCCCCACTACCTCAGCCCACCCTGCACACCCAGGGGCACAAAGCTTTGTTGAATTGCTGAACGATGAAATTGAGGAGGAAAAGGAGATACCGAACATAAATCCCTCCCCAAGATGTCTGGAAGGTGGGAGCTGGAAGTATATGGCACACTCCCAATTTCGTGGTTGAAGTTGTAAAGACTGGTGGCAAGAAATCCCTGGTGCTCGACTGTACCTATCCAGAAGATGAGGCTGGGCAAGAAGAGGAGGTCCAGAGTGACATTTTCGACGTAAGGGAAGTGAGCTTTCAGTCCATTATTGAGTCTTAAGTGGAAGGATCTGAATTACACACTCAACACTGATCCTAGGGACTGGCCTTGTTTGACCACCTGATGGACTTCCCGGCAGGTGGATAGGTGGGTAGCGCTTTTGCAGATGAGATGGTAGAGCTTAGCAGAGACCTGGAGTACCAGGAATACGTTACTTTTCTCGAAGATCACAAAGGTTTTGTCAAGAGCCAGTAGAGCAGGCAAGACATCGAACACCTTAATTTTATGGCATGCTTTGGCTAGGGAACAACCTACTCTGAAGCTAGGCATATGTGTATTTTAAAATGGTTTTCATCCTAATATCATGGAAAATATTTCAAATTTAAATTCCATTGTCCTCTAATTTACTATTCCTTTATTCTCTACAAATCTGTTCCTAGATTTTTGTGTAACAGAATGATGGACAATAAAATTGGTCTATATCCTCCCAATACAAAAAATATTATGAACAACTTTATGCTAGTAAAGCTTAAATTCTTAAAGTTGTGAGTGTGTAGGTTTCTACAACTATATAAATGATCAAAACTGACTCTTAGTGGGGAAAAAAAATCAGCTGTTAACTTTTAGAACACTGAAGATAATTTCCATTAGTTCTAACAGCAGTCATTTCCTATTTTACACAAAGAATGACTGTACCAGAATATGACGGCCCCAGAATCCTTCAAGGATAAAATGAGAAGATTAAAGATAATCTCACTTATGAATATAGGAGCAAAAATCTCAAGAAAAAGAAACTTTAGTCTGTTGAATCTAATACATAAACTACATAATACATCACGACCAGATAGAAATTATTCAAGGAATGAGAGATTGAACATTAGAGAAAAATTAACATATGTTTTTTTATTTATTTACATACCACATTTTAAAGGAGAACTGGATGATCCTCTCAGAGAAAAAGCATTAAATTCCACAGTAATTTATGATACAAAGAACTCTTAGCAAATTAGGAGTAGAAGATGCCTACCTTTTAGATTACATAAAAGACAAGTGAAAATACACAGCAAGTTCAGGAACAAGTCAAGGTTACCTAATAGCACTGCTATAGCACCGTACTAGAAGTTCTAGATAGAATAGTCAGGTAAGACAAAAGATACAAGTTGGAAAGAAAACCGGCATTTACAGGTTTTATGAAAGTGCAGTGAAAACCCCAAAAGAGACTCCAGATAAGCCTTCTGATGAATTAATCTGGAAATTTATCAGGATTGCTAGATATAAGATGATATAACAAATCTGTTGCATTTCCCTACGCTAACAATGAACAGAAAAATGCAATTAAAAATAGATATTATTTACAATAGCACCAAAAGTACAAATTACATACCAATAAATTAAAAGACCTGTAAGACCTATATTTAGAAATTATAAAATTTTATTTGAAAATATTGGAGTTTGGATGGACAGATATACTGTATTAATGGGCAGGAAGACCTATAAAAATGTCATTCTTCACATTGATATACATATTGAGCATCATTCCAGTCAAAATCCCAATACTGTCTATAGCAAATTACAAGCTGGTTCTAAAATTTAGGTGAAAATAGAAATGGCCAAAAATAACAGATACTCCTAAAGAAATTCAACAAAATAGGAAAACTTGCCCTATCATGTATCAAGACTTAACACAGTTATAGTAAATGAAAACGTATAGAATATTATTTAACCATAAAAAAGAATGAAATCTTGACATTTTCGACAACAGGAATGGACCTAGAGGGTGTTACACGAAGTGGAATAAGTCAGAGAAAGACAGATAGCATGTTTCACTTGTATGTGAAATCTAACCAAAACCAAAAACCCAGAAATAGACTCAAATACAGAACAAACTGGTGGTTACCAGAGGGGAAGAAGAGGTGGGTTGGGTGAGACAGGTGAAGGGGACTAAGAGGTACAGACTTCCAGGTATAAAACAAGTCAGTCATGGAGGTGAAAAGCGTAGCATGGGGAAGATGGTGACTAGTACTGTAATAACTTCGCGCGGTTACAGATTAGAACTGTGCTTACTGTGTTGAGCATTATGTAATGTACAGAATCGTCAAATCATTGTACCTGAAACTAATATTGTTTCTCAGCTATATTAAAAACAAAGACCTGTGGTATTGGTGGGATATACATCAGACATGCTATGCTATGACAGAATGAAAAGCCTAGATCAAAGCCATGACGAGGAGACTCTTGATTTATGATGACTGACATTGTAGATGAAATGGGGAAAAGAAGGGGAAATAGTACTGAGATGGTTGGTGGCGTAGGAGGAAAAGAAATTAAGTTCTATCCTCACCCTTGAACACAGATCAGTTCCAAGTGGATTGAAGATCTAAATGTGATTGACAAGAAAGGTTTTAGGAGATACTGGTGTGGAGGAGATTATCTTTGTGACTTTGGGTTAAATAATTTCTTAAGTAAAAGTATAGGTTGAAAAGGAAAATACTGATAAAATTAAGAAACTTCTCTGAAAAGACACCATGACCTCACTGATATGAGGAATTCTTAATCTCAGGAACAAACTGAGGGTTGCTGGAGTGGTCGGGGGTGGGAGGGATGGGGTGGCTGAATGATAGACATTGGGGAGGGTATGTGCTACGGTGAG